CTCCGGAGCGCCGGAGGGGGGGGTCGGAGGTGATCTGGAGGGTAGCTGCTGCAGCTCGGTTTGAGGCAGCCGCCTCAGCACGCCGTGGAGCAGATCATGGAGGGCTTTGAAACTGACGATCCCCTCGGACCCGAGGGACTGGTTCAATAATATGAACAAGTTGTCCTCCTCCATATTTGTTCTGCTCTCCGAGGGCATTTAGAAGGCGCGAGGGTTCCAACGACTAGGGGGCGCGTCCTCGTCGCTAAGTAATGTCACGTGGCCAGTCAGAAGGTGTTGCCATCTTGGCGACTTTCCACAAAATCCGCTGGTGAGTTTTTTTTTTTTTTTTTTTTGTCAAAAGCCACTAGTGACAAATCTAGCAACTTTTTTTCTGGTTTTATTGGAGACTTTTCTTATGTTTTGGAGACTCTGACGTGAAAGCGCATATCACTCTGCAGTTACTGTCGTCAACGAGCAGCGGGTGCTGCCGTGAGCCCCTCCCCCGTACCAAAGCACTCACCGGGCGGCGTTATTAAAAATCAGTAATGATATCCTGTTGGCTAGGGACTCCGGGGGATTGGTTTTGGTAGGGTGATTTTCATTTTTAGATAGAAATGACTATAATTAGTTAGGGTTTTTATTATATAGCATACATAAGTCTATATACTTTAATCTCACAGTTGTGTTTATGTTTATGTTTATGTAGTTACATATCTATATATCACCCTATGTGTTCACTGAATCACTGGTCAGTATTTACTGTTAGCCAACTGGAGCACTGTTTAACATCAAGGGAGACTTGTTCACTAAAACACTGACTCTCATTAGATTTACAGCTTGAGCAAAGAGGGTCCACAGTTAATTTATTATCACCACCTGGCTGAAGAGGCCAGGGAATTTGGGGTCAATGGGACACCAAGGGTAATAAACAAGAGACTAGATCTAAAAGTCAGGAAGAGGAAGACGACTAGGTATTCCTCCCCTTTTAGGGCGCTGTCCACGACCATTGGAGCAGTGAGGATGATTGGAGGACGGACGGACTGAAGGACCAATATCGGGAGAGTTAAGTTTAAATCACAACTTCTCCCCAACAGTTTTTGAGCAATCAGATAGTAACATCTTTTCATACAAATATTGTATACTGGCAGGTTGAGGCCAGTCTTTCCTGTTTATCCTAAACAGTGAAGATCCATGTGCACATGCTTATTTTGATACCTTAATGTATAATACATTTCACATAGTGAAATATATATCTTTTTATTAGTCTTCTCTTTTCAAAATAAAAGAACTTTCCTCACAGTTTTATTGGTGCTTTTAGATCTCACTGCTGCCATTGATACAGTGGATCATGAAATCCTCTTATCTCGTTTGGAGCAGTGTGTAGGAATTCAAGGCACTGTTCTTATCTGGTTCAGATCTTATCTCACTAATAGAAGCTTTATTGTTAATATTGGTACCTGTTCCTCCTCCATCTTCCATCTTTTCCTGTGGTGTCCCCCAAGAATCTGTGCTTGGTCCCATTTTGTTCTCTTTGTACATGCTCCCACTGGGATCTATCTTAAGGAAATATGGCCTTTCTTTTCATTGTTATGCTGATGACATTCAGATTTACTTACCGTTAAAGGCATCAAGAGGGATGTCATTACAGCTGCTGTTTGACTATCTGACAGACTTGAAATCATGGTTGGCACTTAACTTTTTAAATCTCAATGAATATAAGACTGAATGTGTGCTATTTGGTGACCTGCTTCTAACCAGGGCCTGGGTCCCCTAGCTCGACATCTGAAGTTGACTGTAAAAAATCTAGGGATGTTTGATGGCGACGTGAGGTTTGACAAGCAAATCACCTCAATTGTTAAATCTAGCTTCTTCCAGCTGAGCCTGTTAAGCAAGGTCAAGTCACTCCTTTCTTTTAATGATTTTGAGATTGCAATCCATGCTGTTATCACTTCTAGACTTGATTATTGCAATGCTCTATACTATAGTGTTAACCAGTTCTCCCTCACTCGTCTCCAAATGGCGCAAAATGCAGCTGCTCGTCTTTTTGACAAGTACTAGGAAATTCGAGCATATAACCCCGGTACTGGCTTCTCTCCACTGGCTCTCCACTCTCTGACCCTGTCACATATGTATGACAAAAATATAAAGACACCTCATAATATAATGTAATCCAGTACAATTCCACCTTTAACTATGGCCTCAATAATAAACATACACTGAACAAAATTAGATGCACCACATTTATTGTGGCCAGCCTAAGGCACACCTGTGCAATGATCATGCTATCTAATCAGCATCTTGATATGCCACACCTGTGAGGTGGATGGATTATCTCGGCAAAGGAGAAGTGCTCACTAACACAGATTTAGACAGATTTGTGAACAATATTTGAGAAAAATAGGCCTTTTGTGTACATAGAACAAGTCGTAGATCTTTGAGTTCAGCTCATGAAAAATGGGGCCAAACAAGTGTTGCGTTTATAATTTTGTTCAGTGTACAGTTACATTTGACAATTTCACCAAAAACTGTCTGAATCTAGATGTTTTTACAGGTCAAAAAACAATTTGTAAAACCATTGTTAACTAGTTACGGTACTCCTGTCCAATTGTGCCATATTTTTCACCAAATAGACCAATATTAATGTCAACGACAAGCGAACAAAAAAAAAAAAAGAAGTGTGTAATCCAACGTAACATGCATCCTTGCTAACCACAGCTCTTTCCAGATTATCCATTTTATAGAGTATACAGGCTATATGATACAGTTTTTGGTTTACTTTGGTAAAGCACACAAGTAGTGTCCAAAATAGCATTTTATTGATAATAAAAACAAGCAAGCAAAAGTTCTCAATTACTACATTTAAGTATAAAATCATCTAGACATGCCTTCACCTTAAATCCCTAGCAGAGACTACATGAAAAAACTGGAGCAAGTCCAGTATGTACTATGGTACATAATTTGATGCTAAACAAAAGGAAAAAAATATATATACATAAAGTATCTGCAGCTCAGTTTCCCTTTTTGACCATAACAGTACATAAAGCTGTCTAGAAAAGAGCCTATACGTCTTAAGGCCCATATTTACTCTTGTGCATCCCCCAACTTAATTTAACAATACAAAATCATTCAAGTATCCTTTAAACCATTTGTAAGACTTTATAGTATAATCGCCAACGTAATTACAATTTATCCACTGGGCAATTTGTTGGTGTGTTTCATAGCAACCCGTCCAATAGGTGAAGATGTAGCCAGTACATCTTTAGAACCAAAGCGGTGACACAACACGCACATCTCTAGAGCCATGCTGCTAGTGTAGCTGAAAACCCTGTCAACTGTGTCTGCTGTTAAGGGTGATTTAATAACAACAAAATGTCCTCCTGGTTTGCCATTTGTAGTCAAGAGAAGAAAAGGACTTTTTCCATTCTGTCTGGTGTAAACCAAAGGGCTGGCATTCATTTATCTGGACAAATGGAGTCAGCCGCTTGTAATTATAACACATTTCCAGGAATGTAGAGTACAGGTTGTCCTCAAGACGATCTCACTCACAACCAGTTATGTAGCACTTAGTGTATATTGTGTATTAAAAGAAGAGAAAACAAGGAAGAGAAAGAAGAAAATAGCATAACACTACAAATACAGGTGAAAATTAATTTCTTGATGTTTCCCTTTGCTTTGTTTCCAGTCACTGTAATGTTAGTTTAACAAAAGTCATTGACAGGTGGCCAAAGCTGACGAAGACTAGGCTTGTAAACGGCTTGTGATTGCACAAAATCTGTTGTAAAAGTTCATTTTAAGGTTGTGATTAGCTTGTGACTGTAACTGAACCTGTAGGCCAGACTGGAGAGTACGGCAGTGGAATGACAACACAGCTACTTTATGAGAAGGGAATCACAGTCTTGGACAGTGTTACTTGCAAGTTAGAGCCCAGGAGTGGCTGGTGTGTCAATATGTCAAGGTTAAATGTGTGCATTGCATGCTTTTGTGGGTGCAAGGTATGCTACACAAAAGATTAGGAAAACTTTACAATGAGTACGCTGGCATTATTGTATTTTCCACTGTCATTAAATCCCTTGAGAAGACAAAAACCAACAACATGTTAGTGTGGGGATGTAAATTCCTGCTAGATATTGTAGTTTTTACATAAACAAAAAGGAATAATGCATTTGACATGGACTATTTTTAGTAGAGGACTAATCCACATATGGGACTGACTAAGTCAAAATAAACAGTATGTGTGTGTTCATGATAATGAAGGAGCATGTCACCCAGTGTGGTCACTTATGTTTTTAATAGCTATAGGGCAACAATCATGATCTATGGCAAAGAGGTATAAGAAATATCAGGTTTGTGGTACACACACATACACACAAAGTGTGATACATTCATTGTTGTGTGTAGTCTTTTCATGGGACTTGCTGACAAGAGGAAAAATACACAATATCAGCAGGACTTGTACCTGCAGTCAGAGCAACTGCTCTGCCTGAAAACATTAATACCTGCACCACATTAAATCAGTGTAATTCCTCAAGATCCCTCCATGTAGGCACTAGCGACATTCCCATTACTATTATTTTATATCTTCGGTGACAGGGTTTGAATCAAAAGTGCCTGACTCTTGATTAACAAATCTCTACCCATCATTACAAAACTCAGTGTACAAAATAATCATAGATGTGCCAGGAACGAAACAAAGTCAGGCTCATCTGCCATGCACCAAATACCTAATCATGCCTTCTGATTTAGTGCAGATATGTGTTGAGATCAAGATTTGGCTCTCCTGCAGTCACTGCCAGGCTCTGCACAGGCACTGTAAAAACCAAACATACCATAGTGTCAGTCTCTGTTAGCAGATACCTTCATCATCCATGGGTGATTGTTTTGCCAGCTGTGGAGAAAGAACAACCTCCAGATGTGGCCTCCTCATCCTTACCAGACAGAGATCAGATGCTGTCGTAGTCGGACTGTTGCCTGTTGGACTGTACCACCCATTCTGACACAAAGAAAGTCAGTGATCCCAGAAAACCCACTAGGACCAGAATGAGCAGCTGCCAGTGCAGCAGAAGGTAGTTACTGTAGAAGAAGGCCACAGCGGCCATGATGGACTGCAAAGGAAATAACAAAACATTGAAACAAACTACTCCTGAGGAAAATAAATCCCCAGTCACTGCAAACTATCACATTTGTACTCCAAATATATTCTTTTTCTATTCACAGTTTTTAATGTATTTTTATGTTACTGTCACAGCGTGCCGGATTTAAAAATCACCTGGATGAACTTGAAGACAGCGAAGGCAGGGGCACTGTTGTCATGGAACATGAAGCCAATGATGCTGAGAAGCTGAGTGTTGAAACAGCTGTCACCCAAACCGAGCAGGAAGCTGCACAGCAACGCCACCTCGACACTGAGTCAAAGACATTATGTAATCATTGTATATTCAGTATTTACCAGAAATAAGTATACCACAGGCACTGTGGACTACATTACAGAATGAGTATTTCCCCATAGCTCCTTTACTTGATGCCTCATTATGTATGGGTTGACATGTCGGACGTTTATGATTTACATGTTAATGATAATCCTGGTGACCAAGGCTGATGTGGGGACTCACATACACAATTTGTTGTTTTGTTTATGGCATTAAATACACACACACACCCACAATTATCAGTGAAAGGTGTGACCTACAGTTCCTTGGGTCAGATACATGTGAAAAAGAGATTCATAAAACATAAAGCGTATGCATAGTTCTGTTTTATAAATCTCAACCTCTGAGGAACTGGGTGCATGAGTCTCATTTTCACCTGTATTGTGTGTTGAATACATGTAGATGTATCTTTAATGATATTATTGTATATCAACACTTGAGTCTGCTCCACCCGGTTTTCAGTTGAAGGAGGTTGTGTAATTTCACTGTCATGCTGACAAGGTCCTCCAACAACATCAGAGCAGCTACCATCACACCAGCAGTAACTATAGATCTTATCATGAATTAATCCCATGTACTTCATTTGAAGAGAAAATAATGAAACTGACAAAGTGTGAGAAATGGCATTTACATAATTTCTTTGTGTTCTTATTTGTGGTTTGTTTCTGAGTGATGTCCTTTGTACCTGGGGGAGATGAAGGCCTGCATTGCTGTTCCTGCCTCTGAGGCCAGAGGAGCATCGCTGGCAATGTTGAGGAAAATTAGGTAAAAGGCAACAAAGTGGGTGATGATCCCCAGCAGCACCACTTGGTTCCTCCCAAAGCAGTTGTACTTGTTCAGCATCCCAAACACGCCCCCTCCTGGCCAGACAGAGCAGAGAGAGGAATGAGAAAGAAAAAAAAAAAAACAACAACAACTTGCTGCCTCATGACATCCCTTAGGTCGTTTCCTCATTCTCACCGAAGTGCTATCATGTGACAAATTGCACCATAAAAGAAGGTCAGGAGATGATACAGCAAAGAACACTCACCTAAGATCTCGCCTATGCCGATAAAAATGCCAGAGAGGCCGATCAAACCCTTTGCGTCTTGGCCAAACTGCGTCATTGCTCCAATACATGTCCCGTACACACCGCTGAAAAAGGTGAGCTCCAAGCCTGACGGAGCACACAGAGCAGTGTGCTTAGTTTGACCTACACCTCACAGGATTCACCTCAACATATCTTATTCTCATTTCACCTACCTGTGTATCCTATGGACACAGACAGCAGCAGCATCTCTTTGGTGACAAGCATTTTACACGCTTTGACTGCAAGAAAGTGGATGTTAATACATGACACAGCTGTGTTACACCGAGAGTTAAAAGCTCATGAGGGTCAGTTTATTAAACTTACCAAAAGCGTCTAGAGCTTGTGAGCAGAGGCTTGCATGAGGTGAGCTGTGCAAAAGAAAAGCTCATATGAACAACACAAGCAAAGACTGTAAGATGAGCCACCTTACCCTGACTGAAAGTTGATTTTACTGAAAGTAGTATAAATGGATCTTTCTGTCATAAAGCACTCTTT